TGTTGCTCTGGTATATCGCTTTCCTTGTCCTGGGTGCTCCAAACACTCGGAGGCTCTGTTGGCCTTCAGATGTAGTCCCAAGTCTACACACACACAGAGCAATAATCCTCGAGTCTCCTGATTCCCTTCCTGTAATTCTAGCTCCAGAGATGGAAGCAGGAGGATCAGGAATTTAGGGCCAACCTCAGCTGTTCAGAGGAGTTCAAGGCTGGCTGGGCTTCATGAGACCCTATCTCAAAACTAAAACCATGAAAACCGAGGAAGAGAAAGAGACGGAAGGTGTGCCCATCATGGACTTAAGTCACCTTAGAGGAAAGCAGATGGTTTCCGTGGGCCACGCTCCGTGGAGGCACCTGGCCACTACGGCATCGGCAGCCATTTTAATGGCTGTTTTAGACACACTTCATCAATCAACATGCTCACACCATCACTTGCTGAGCATTCTCCAAAGGTTGGACGTGCATTTAAAGGAGCATTTGTTAATGGCCCCAAGTATCTTGGAACTGAGAGATCAGCCTCAGATCTGGTCCACAAAGCCCAAGCTGGAGCCCGAGCCCTTGCCCCTGTGTACAGGGGAGTGAGCTGCCATACACCTGTGTTGTGCTGTTTTAGCTCTTCTTCAACGTTGCATCCTCACACACGCCGATGGGGCGCACACACACCTGTACAGAGGCGAGAAACCTCCACCAAATGACCTGTGTCTAACAGCTCCCAGCTCCTAGGTTTCTGCATCTAACGCAGTTTCCAACCAAGACAAAGACAGCAATCCGCTGCACAATGTGAAACAACTGTGCTCCGTGTGTGGTTCGTCATGAAATCTCTGCTGTATGTGTTTGGGGAATGACGATTATATGTATATACCGTATGTAAGAGGCTATGCTGCCCAATGTTGCGTAAACTTAACAGATTCTCTAGTCTGAATATTTAACTTGTTATTGTAAAATGTGATTTCTCATTGAGAGATTATTTTTCTGTATGTACATGAGAGTATTTTAGGAATCTAATTTAAGTGCATAAACTCTAGAAGAAATTAAAACCATACTCCGGGAGTAGCAATGCCTGATCGGATCTCTTGGGTTCAACCCAACTAAATTTTATTAAAAGACAAATCCAAGTTGAATGTTTGGGAATTCAAAAGTGTGAATTTGTTTTTCCTTCTGCCTTGCAGGAGACATGGTGTTAGTGAAGTGGGTGGAGGCATGACAGAATGGGGGGGGGGACCGTGTAGCCATGGCCTGGGGTGAGATCTTGTTACACTACAGGTGGCCTCCTACAGACGTCATATTCTGGAGTGAGACACACAGCCCGTCTCCCAGCAGACTGCTGCCACAGACCATGTGGCCTGGTCAGAGAACTCAGGAGCATTCCGGGAGGCCGCACCCTGGCTTCAGCTTCTCCCACCATTGAGAAGCTGATGAGGTGAGGGTGAGGGGAGGCCGAGCCTGGGTTTTCCAGGCTCAGCTGTTTGTAGGCAGGGGAAACAGGTATCCCATGCAGCTTCCTGAAGGCCCAGGCTGAGGCAAGAGGCCTGCCTCCCCTACTCTACACCTTTTCCAGAAAAATACCAGAAGTTCAGGCTGCTTCTGAGCACCGCTGGAATGTTCCTTCAGGTGACCCAGGAGGCTGGTGAAACTGTGTCTAACCTCTTCCCCCGGCCCCCGCTCCCCAAGAGAGCATCTACAAATGACTTTAGTTAGTGGTGACTCTGAGTCCAGCCTTGCCACCTGATCGGAAATGCCTCTCGATTAAGAGCCAGTTTCTGGTGACACGGGTGACCACTGATCACTGCAGAAGTCCAGGGTCCACTGATGAAAAGGACAAACATGAGGGTGCATTGGGCCAGCGCTTCTTTCAGTAAGCTGTGTGCCTCTTAATGCTGCCAGCTCTGTCTTAATAACCCCGCTCTGGCGCACGCTGGAGTCAAGCCATGTCCTGCCTGCAGAGGTGCGGGCAGCTTTACTGCAGGATGCTTCCTGGACTCTGCTAAGGCTGAAAATGACTGTATTCTGTAGCTGCCTCTAGTCTTAAAGACAGGGCCACTTAGCTTGCTCAGATGTAGCCTGGGAAGGCATGTCAGGCCAGCGTGCAGAACTGCACAAACTCTGGCTTCTCTGTCTGCATAGACCCTGCTTCTTCTCTCCTGTAATGAGCGCTGGGCTGGGGTGACCACAGGTTGTGAGAATACACCAGCCAGACAACGAGAGAACGCCGGGTTGGTTAGCATTTGTGATCTCTGTAGTGGGCCATGCTGCTGGTAGCCTGCAGCTTCTTTACAACCGGCAGTGGCGGAACTAAGCCACTCCCCCATGGATGTCCAAGTCATTGTAATGTGTACTTGTTGCTAAGTAACAGTATTTTCACGAAAGGATTATAGTGTCCACTTTATAACACTAATAGAGTTCTAAAAATTCTTAGACATTGTTATAAGTTAGACTTCTACATCTGCACAAGGCCTGCTGAAGCAGGCTCATAAAGCTTCTTTTCCATTTGTTTAAAAGGTGTTTTTAGTCTGTTTTTTTTTTCATGTCTGAACATCCTTTGGCACCTTATTACACATGAAATATTGTTTTACCAGCTCAGCTTCCAGCAATAGGGCAACATCAGTAGGAATCGCCAGGGCCTGCATCTCATTCTTGGTCACTTTGGCCTGTATGGTCCAAATCACATAAGCTCACAAATAAAACAAGAACAGCCAACCTCACTACCTCAGATTACTCTGAGTTTTTTCTTCCTCCACTTCTTTGCCAACACACAGGACGCCCTGAAAGCAAGTCTCTCCCTGTGGCTATATCCCAGAGAAAAGGTTGTAGTTGTACAAGAAAAACGATGTAAAAATAAAATTAAAACATATGGCAATCCCTACCTTTCCAACTCTCTGACAGACTCTGTGTTGAGTATTCCTAAGAACAGCATGAGAAATGCTGAGAACAGTTAGGGGCGCCAAGGAAACCTAGCAAGCCCAGTAAAACTCCCTGGAGACTCTTACACGAGTGGGCTTTTCTTTTCGGACAGGGTCACACATAGCTACCTGTAGCTGGCCTTACCTCCCGATCCTCCTGTCTCACACCCCATGCACAGTTGGCTTCAGTGTGAAACTGTGAAGCCCTTCATGTGCTGTCTTCTGTGCACCCAACGTAGGATGTTACGTGTATCCTACTTAATAGTTAACACATATCATACCCATGCAAAGGGCTGTTCAACTGCACAACTCAAAGAAACCTTCCCATTTGTTTGCTTTTTCTTGTCAGCTTGTCTTCCAGTGTGGTTTTGAGAGTTGTTTAGCTATACCTTCATTTACCCTAATTTGTTCTAAGACCCAAATGGCTACACACACACACACACACACACACACACACACACACACACACACACAACCCTTTTTATCTTTAATTACATGGTGGGGGGCAGGCACGTACACACGAGTGCACTCTGCCTGCACCGGCCACAGGTGTTGGATCTCCCGGAGTTACAGGTGTTTGTGAGCTGCCTGTGTGTAGCATCAGAATTCAGGACTTCTCGAAGATCAGTATGTGCTTTTAAACACTGAGCCACTGTTTTGTTTTGCTATTTTGTTCCACTTGCTTTGTTTCCTTGAGACAGGATTTCTCTGTGTAGTCCTGGCTGTTCTGGAACTCACTCTGTAGACCAGGCTGGCCTTGAACTCAGATCTGCCTGCCTCTGCCTTCCAAGTGCTGGATCAGGCTTTTGCTTTTTGAGGTAAGGTTTTGGTATGTATCCCAGGCTGACCTCAAAATCCCTATCTTCCTGCCTCAGCCATGAGTGTTGGGATTACGGGACAGGCCACCACACTAGGCTGTTCTGTTTGAAGGCGTTAGGGAAGGGCTTCCCTGTGAAGCTGGGCGAGGTGGCACACGCCCGAATCTCAGCACTTCAGGGGCACACCACTGCCTCGGACCCATGGCCAGCTTCAACTCTGCTCCAGGACATTGTACTTCACAGCACAAGATTATCGTGGGCAAGGCTTTGGGGTCATCTCTGGTATTTGTGGGGTAATCTGCATCAGTGCTGCTGTCTGTGTGAGCCTTGCAGTGAGCATGTGAGGCTATCCCGGTCCTCAGCGGCTAGCCGAAGACAGGCTGTGAATCTTGGGAAGGTAGAGAACCATGCTCAACAGGAGAGGCGAGCCTAGCAGTGCTCAGCAACAGGGGTTTGTTTCTCCCTTGTGGTAAGAGCCCCTCGCCTGGCTGCTCTGGACCCCACCACATCTGTATCTAGTTTGAAGAAACCACCTGCGGACTGCCAGGCTGCTGGCAGTGAAGGGTACCCAGACACATCCCACTTCCTCTCTTCCCCTTTGCTAAGACTTAGCCCTGGGGTAAGGCCCTTCAGCTGTCTGTGAGGCAACCGCTCTTGGGCATGGCCCAGAAGGGCCTACTGGTGACCCCGAGAGCTCCAGCGGCCTCAGAGGCGAGCTCTGGGAAGAGCATGTGGGAGCTACCTGGCTGCAGGTAGACTGGGAGCATCTCAGGGGCAATGGGGACTTGCATGTTAGCCTGACTGGCTGGCTCCAGCTGTGGTCAGTGTGCCATCTGTCACAAGGGGAACAATCATGAGATGGGGATTGCAAACCAGACTCTGTGGTTCAGCCATGTTACCCTGAACAAATCTCACGTGTAAAATGAGAGATACCTATTCTACTATATCATAATATTGCTAGATTTCATATGAGGGGCACCAAGTGCCCTCGAGAGTTCAGACCCTGAGCCCACCTAAGCTTCTTCACCTTCTGACTTATGTCAGGAGTTTTATGTCAGGATCAAGAAAACCTTTCAGTAGAGAGGCCTCCTTCAGCCACCCCTCAAAGACAGGAGATTTTGGTAGGCTATATATGTAGACACAATGTTAATTTAATCAAGGAATCCCTAAGAATAACACACAATCCAGCCCAAGGGCATTCTAACCTCAAGACTAGAGGAGCCCGCCCACAGGAGGATGAAGACCTTGCACTGTAAATCCCTTAAAGGACAAGAAGCAGCACCCTCTGTTTAGGAAGCGGTTTATTGTTGCTCCAAGGATGAGCGCTCACACAGGCAACGGCCTTCAGAGCATCTCCCGCATGGCCTGGCTGAGCTTCTGAATCTTGGTCTTCGCAGACATGTCAACGTATTTCTCCCCAATTCGGACAATCATGCCACCCATGATTGATGGATCAGTCTAGGAAATAAAGCAGGTTGCAAATGTGAAAACACTTGAGGAGGCTCGCTAAAACAGGCAGACCACCCACAACACGATGGGAACTATGCTGGGATCAGGACTCAGCACCAACACTGCCCACAGCCGTAGCCGAGTCAGACAATGAAGGGACCAAACCCACCTTAACCTCCAGTTTCAATATCTGTCCTTGACCCAGGAAGCTCTTCAGCACGGTCTTTAACTCGGAGAGAACAGCGTCATCTAAAGGCTAAAAAAGAATGACCACCCTTTAAACAGAGCACAACAGCAGGACCACAGTTAGAGAGAGGGAAAAGAAATACAAATACTCGTAGGAAGGGAATATAATGTACACAGAGTGCAGACTTCTGAGAAAAGAGGCCCGAGTGATCCTGAGCCCACCTAAGCCTCACCTTCTTGATATAAAATAAGGACAATCTTAGGATAGTAAAGATGACAAGGTCCCCAGCAGATGGCAGCGCCAATAAATGGTGGTAGTTACTGCCCTGTATGGCAGCAGGCCACAGGTTAAACAGTCTTATTCTAGAACTTAACACTGCATTTAAGAGTCCAGGCCGTAACAGGACCTAAACAGCTATTTCATAAAACACTTCGATGTCCTTTAAATGCAGCCAGGATCCCCAGGACTAACCGCTGGCTTCCAGGTGGAAGCTCACAGGAATCTCACTAGTGACAAGTTACATTCCGCAGTGGGGGGAAAGGACCACTTACAGATGCTGTGGTCACTGTGCACGGCACTTCTCCACGGTGGACACTCATGATGGTGGAAAAGGCAGAGATGACCGCCTGGGTATTGCTTAGCCGTCCGTTCTCAGCAAGCACATCTGGGGAAGTGACAGGCACTCAGTGAGTCACACTCAGAGCAAAGCCAATTTGTAGCTGGGGACACCACAATCAGAGTCCTCAGAGACTGCGAATGGGGGCTGGAGGGACCACTCAGCGACTCAGCACGGGACCTGCTCCTGCAGCGAACCCAGGCTCAGTTCCCAGCACCCATATGTTAGCACATGACCACCCACAACTCCAGTTTCAGGGGATGAGATGCCTTCTTTTGACTTCCTGGGGCACCAAGTTCTTTTCTCCCTCTGGTTACTTCCCCCTCTTAACCCTAACCCCAACCCTCGCACAGTTAAAACCCAACTGGGAACGTGGCTACACTCACTCATGAGGTTGGCTGTCAGTGGAGAAAACTTTTCCTTGGCTGTGATACTAGCCAGGCTTTTCGCTTTGATGGAGCGCTTGACGTAGGGGTTCAGAACCGCAAGAGACACCTTGGGGTCCTTCAGGAGTTGCTGTAAGCACACACACGAGTCAGCCGGCACACATTTTGTTCATGACTTTACATGGGGCTAAAGACGCACTTTAAAGAACTCCAGAAATACCTTATGAGGTTCCTTACATGTATTTTAAGAAACCATACGAAATTAAGCAGCCACAGTCTCACCATATGTCCTACCGCACGTGACACCGTAGGCCTGTTTTCCTCAGCACACTGAGAGGCCTCTCTCTGAGTCCCCAGACAAACCTAACTGAGATTCTGGACTGAGAGGGAAGAGAACAAGAACCACAACCATGTTGCAAATCCATTTTATCCCCATTTTGCTAAAGCACAAACACGAACTTAGTAACCACCTGCAGCTTCAGCATCCGCTGACCTCAACATCAGACCAGAGTTCAAGGACCCACAATGGCTCTTCCTGGGCAGACACCTTCCAGTTACACGTCTGCACGCCTGCCGGCTGCTCCCCAGCACCGCACTGGCTCCTGGCTGGAATTGAGTCCATTGCCAAGCAGTGCTGATTTTCACGCTAGGATTTCCGCCTGAGTAGCCACACAGCAAAGGCCAGAGCCTGGGCTATCCACCTTCTCAGGCTTCTAGCAACATCCAGCAGACATCTAAGGTGACATCTCTTACCATCCCACCCCTGCCCCTCAAAACCTCACTTGTAGCACCTCAGATAACTGTCTCCCTTCTTCTCTAGGACTGACTTCTGGGTTGTATAAAAGCAAATCTAAGTAATTAGAAACACGAGAGAGACAGACAGACACATACACACATAGAGAGAGCGAGAGACAGACACATCCACACATAGAGAGAGAAAGAGAGGGAGGAGGGGAGAGACTATGGCATGGTGAGTGTGTGCAGGTCCAACAACAACTTGGCCAGAGTTGGTTCTCCCCTTCCACCATACACCACGTGGGTCTCAGAAAGTGAACCCAAATGCCGTGCTTGGTAGTAAGTGTCCTTACCCAAGGAGACATCTTATCTGCCCATACACCAAGCTAATGTCCACCACCAAAATCATCACCTTCATGGTGAACAGGATTGCTTGGCTCAAAGAGAGCTTAACTGACCACCATATACAGTGATGACCAGAACAGGGCCTGTCTGCTCCAGTCAATGCCTCTCTACAGGGTCTCTGGCAGGAAGCCAGGCCCAGCCAAGTGCCTCAGTGTCAGACAAGTGCAGACAAGGAGGGCGGATGGCTAAATTTGTTTTATAAACAGAGTAAAGTTTAAGCTGAGTGAATGAGATGAGCAGCCCGTGCAGTGGACACCGTGCTAGCCTGGGAAGCCGGACTGCTTTCTCTAAGGGATCTTAAAACATCTAACTGGAAAAACCACCCTTCCCGTGGGGTGACCACACTGGCCGTGGAGTGAGAGCAGACACTTGGTTTCTGCTATTCAAAGGTGATTTCCCTTTCTTTACCTTTCAAAGGAAAATGCAAAGAGAGATTTTTTTCCTGGGCAGTCTTGGGCCTATCAGTTCTGTCTCATTACCCAGCAGCTTCTGCTCAGCCATTCTTCTTTCACTTCTTGGGAATAATTACAAATTCCCTGGAAGGGCAGGACGGCCCAGTGGGCAGAGCACTGGCTGCCAAGCTGCTGACCTGAGTTTGCTCCCCAGAACTCGCAGGGTAGAGGACGGGACTTCAACCTCTATACTGGCACCGTACATGCCCAACAGTCCCCAATTCCCAAAATGAAGAAAGGTAATTAAAGAATTTTTTTTTTAAAATCTAGGAAGTTCCCGAAGAAAATGTCATGAAGAAATGTAATTTCAGTAATGTGAAAATAAATTCAAAAGACATTAACATAACCTTGATCTTTTAACACAGCCAAGTGTTCTTAAACATGTCTTGTAGTTTCCAGTGGCTCTTTTTACAGGTCAGGAACAGGCACCACCAGGACAGCTACTCACCCCCATCCGTAGCAACTCCTTTTCCACTTGGTCCAGTTTATTCTGTTTGGAAGCAGCAGAATAAAGGGCGGTGGCATAGCGACCTTCAATGCCATAAATCTGCACAGGGGGCTGGGAAGGAAAAGAGGGAAGGGAGGAAGAGTTCAGCCAGGAGTACAATTATTGTTGTATTATGACTTAGAGACCACAGTTCCCACCACCACAGCAGTTAAGCACTTCACCAAGGAGCAGTCCTAAATGAGGACTCACACACGAGGGACATCTCACTTCCTCTGTACCGAGTCTCTTCCGGCTCTACCTACCTGCAACTGTCTGAGCTTTCCCTTCCTTGAACTCAGCACAAGGCAGGCTCTAGGCATGGAAGGGTTCAGGGACTAATAGCTCACAGCTCTGAAGACATGCGAAGCCGGACCAGTGTATGAGAACCGGCCAAGTGCACACTCCCCATTACTGTTACGGTATTTGAGGATGCTCTCAGGATGAATAAAATGCCTCTATTCAGAGGTCTCACGGAATTTGCTTCTGTTGAGACGGGCGGAATGTGTTTCTGTAAGTTCCTACTGCATTCTGGTCTGCTATTTCCCAAGGTGAGTTTACGTACAGTTGACTGGCCTGGGCGCCAGAGAGCATATGACAACCCAGAATATCTCTAGACCTGTAAGCTAAGAAAGCTGAATGGACCCTTCACACATGAACTAGAAAATAGAGTTACAAAATAATCCATGTACATTCACCCATACTTCACTCTGTATTGGGTAACCAAGTTGGAGTTGTCTGCATCAATCAGACTTCTGGGTTAAAAAGAAAGGGGCTGGTAGACCTTTGCAAGGGTGAGACTACTGGTGCCTGGTAGAGCCAATCGAGTGGACCCATCAGTATTGATTTTGTTTGGAGAAAAAGGGTGCAGAGTGTCAAGGAGTAACCTGGAGTTGCGACACAGTGTCAACTCCTGTAACAACTCTAAGGATCTGGGCAACAGCCGGGTGGTGCATGGCTTTACTCCCAGCACTCCAATCTCTGTGAGTTCAAGGCCAGCCTGGTCAACAGAGTGAGTTCCAGGACAGCCAGGGCCGTTACAAGAGAAACCCTGCCTCGAGGGGGAAAAAAAGAAGAATCTGGGCACTTTATTTTCCTTAGTTAGAAATATTTCCTTCATAGAAAGAAAACAAAAGGCTAGCTTGTCTATGAAGGACTACTAGGAAAAACAATCTAAAATTCGTTTACCCATACACCCTGTTTGTGTGTGCATGTGTACACACACGTGGAGAACCGAGGGCAGAAGAAATTTGCTGGGCCCTTCCTTCCACCATATGGCTTCCAGGGATTGATCTCAGATTCTCAGGCTTGCCACCAGGAGCCTTTACCTGCAGAGCTCTCTTGCTGGCCCCAAACAAATAATTCTTAAAACATTAAAGGCTAGGGATGGGCTGACCCCCCTCCCCCCAACTCATTTGGAAACTGCGAATCTTGCAGAGAAAAGGTTAGTAACTACACACCTCTGCATTTCTGTTTAACACCCACCACAAGAGAACGGAGGTCAACATACCCTCACGAGCTTGGCGAAGGGCCTGACCACAGACGTGCTGAAGCTCCGTACCTTTAGAACACAGAGATAAAACAGGGTTACGGGAAGGATTTCTGCATTACTTAGCAGTACGTTAAAATAATCTAAGCGATTCGTTGCATCGATTCTCTTATCACACAGGCTGTATGAATGGGAACTGCTCTTTATCTACGAATAAATTCCCTATTGAACCATCCCAATTGCTTTGGAAACGGCCTCCCTACCACCTTCCCTGTTGAATGGCTGAGAGAGAAAATACTAACGTCCCAAAATTTAATTTTCCAAAAAAGAAATCTATCACCTTCAATAATAATTTTATATGAAAGTGGAATATTTGTAGTTATATCACCTTTGAGGAAAATTTTAATGAAAGTAGGAGGATTTCAGTCACGATTCAAGCAAATATACTTGCTTGTGAACTGAAACGCTACCCAAGACCAAAGACTGAGTATACTTGATATGGCAGGCTTCGGGTCTTAAGAGATGACACCGTCTGTTACGGGAAAAGCCTGGAATCAACAGCTTAGGAAGCACCTCGCAAGGGCACAACAGGTCATTATGCTTCCTGCTCTGGGATGCATAGATTAGAACTGGCTGAGTTAAAAACTACGGTGTAGCAAACGAAAAGCATCACGGCAGATGACCCAGGCGCGTGTTTTACCCAACCAATTCCAGGTTCCTCCGTCTCCCAGACCCTGGCCGGCTGCTCCTCCGCGCGGTGACCCCGGATGTCAAGGTCAAGACAGCGCAACCCCGCGCCCACGACCCGCGGGGCCGAAGCCCCATCCGCCCCACGCTGTCCCCAGTCGCGGGCCCACGGCTCTCGTGGGCGAGCTGACCCCTCAGCCACGGCCTCGCACGCGGCGCTGGGAGCCGGGGGTCGGCCACCGGGTGGGACTTCCCGCCAGCTTCGCCTACCTGCCGGGAGAGCCCGGCCGCTGCTGGCGCCGCCATCTTTCTCCGGGCGGGTGTAGGTCAAACCCAAGGGGGGGCGGGGGGGGGGGGAACGGAGCCCAGAGGCGACAGAGCGCACGCGCGCGCCAGCGTAACCGCTCGGCTTTCTGGGAAATGTGCTCATCGGGTTCCAGGGTACGTGGGTGGCGACCTCTTGCATCTTGGGAGTTGTAGTCCATAGGAGCCGTGATGCGGCTGGGCTCTTGAACCCGAACGAGATCTGAAAATTAAATCTTATATTACTGGCTGAGCGGGTCTTAGTGTAGAGTGGATGGGTTCCCTTTAGTTTAAGGTTTACATTTAGATTCTTTGCACATCATCGTCAATACCTCGTCTAGAACCGTAGCCTGCCAAAGCGTGCTTTGGTGCCAATGATTCACACTTTGCTAAACAAATCAATACAAAAAGCACAAGCGACCCTCCCAGGGTCACATGCTTGAGACAAGGCTTCCTCGGCCTGATACAATTTTCTCTTCCCCCTCCTCCTTCCTCGTCTTACTAGAGCCTGGACCTGCTAGATTTCGGTGGTGTGTGCTTTTCAGAGTAGGACAGAATGAGATCAGAACTAGAATCAGGTTTTAATCAAAGATGACGTAGAAAGTTAAAAGTCTGCATCAGCCTTAGCAGGTTTCTCTGCGTTCTTACAACCGACACGTTTTCAATGCCCTTAATTTTCTCTTCTACAGCAGACAGTCAACAGTCCCATCCAACAACAGGTTTCCTGGTTCTAACACAGGAATTAAGAAAACGCTTTCTGCTCAGATTTAGTATAGGAGTACATTTAGTTGATTTGCCCCTTTTAGGGTATAATATTTTCTTCATTACTTGTTTTTTAAATGGCGGTAAGTAGGAGAAATTATTCCCTTCTTTTCTACCACCCAGAGGCCTCTGCTGCCAACATCGTGGTGAAATGCTTACCAAAATATCTTTAGGTTGCAGATTGCCCAGGCTTGAATCTTAATAGTTTCTGAGCTTGGTTAATCACACAATTTCTCTGTGCCTCCATTTTCCTAGCTATAAAATTATTATAGTAGTGCAGTACCTGCCTTACACTCTTGAGAAAATTAACATTTATTTATGTTAACACATATGCTGAGTACACAGTTGACAGAGTTCTTTGTTTTTTGTTTGTGGTTTTTAGTCACAATCCATATATAACTTAGTATCTTGCCTTTCCCCTTAATGTGAGGGAAAAATGGATACAGAATTATATGAGCTGTGAATACAGCTTTAGAAAGTTATTTTATGCGTATGAGTATTTGCCTGCATGTGTGTTTATGTGCCATGTATGTGTGTGTCTATTGCCTGAGAGACCAGAAAACGATGTTGGGCTCCTCGGAACTGGAGATAGAGGTGGTTGTGAGCTGCCTGTGGGTGCGTCAGTCTCAGGCAGGAGCTTCATGGTGTCTGCCACACTGCCTTCTTCCTCCCAGAATTCAGTTCTGTCTTCTCCGCCTAAGTTCTGCCCTATCAAAAGGCCAAAGCAGTTTTTTTTTTATTCAACCAATGAAAGCAACACAGAGACAGAAGAACCTCCTATACCACATTGCTCCAAATTAACTTTAGAGGTTATTTTTAAATCAGTTTAATGAAAAGTCTATTCATCACTGAGCATATCTTATTAAACCTCCCATGTGTAGACAGCTGTTTTATATCCCAAGCTGCAGCAAGGTATAAAAAGATCAGCCTGCTTGCTTTAACAGGCTGTGCTGGCTAGCTTGACACAAACTGGAGACACCTGGGAAGAAGGTACCTCAGCTGAGACACCGCCTCGCTCAAACTGGCCAGTAGGCAAGTCTGTGGATCATTTTCTGGATTAATGAGGTGGGAGGGCCCAGCCCACGGGTGGCAGTGCCACCCAGTATGGATTGTATAAGAAAGCAGGCCACCAAGCCATGGGAAGCAAGCCAGTAAGCGGTGTATCGGTGACTGCCTCACGTTCTGCCTGGGGTGACTCTGTTGTCGACTTCTCTGTGATGAACTCTTACCTGGAAATGAGAGCTGAAACAAACCCTTTCTTTCCCCCACGTTGTTTTTGTTCCCTGCTCTGTGTGTGTGTGTGTGTGTGTGTGTGTGTGTGTGTGTGTGTGTGGCTCTGACTGTCCCAGAACTCACTCTGTAGACCAGGCTGGCCTCAAACTCAAAGGACCATCACCACCTGGCTTGTTTGGTGTCTTATTACAGAAAAAAAATCAAACTAGGGGACAAGCTTACACTATGTAAAACAAACTATAACCCTGTATTTCCTGAAGTACAGGCACATTCGACTTTACAATGTAATTTGGGTATCAGTAGGTGAAATAGAAAGCAAAAGTTCTGAGCTCTAATGCACTTGGGAAGTTCTAGACTGTCTACTGCACTGAATTTTTTTTAAAATATACCATTGTTGTCTCTATAGCAAAAAGATACCTTCTACTTATTTTGTATTGTTCATTCCACTCTAGCTCCTGGCAGAACTCCAAAATGATAGTTAAAGGTTGATTGAATGTCAAGGTTTGCTAGCATGTTGAGTCTCCTCAGGGTGTCTTGCAGGTGTAAGTGGGCTTGGTATGTCGCTATTTTGTGGGTGGCAAAGCAGACTTAGATTATTAAAAAATTAGTTACATCACACACAGTCAAGGCCAATAAAATGACCAGACTTGCCCAAGGGCAGGGCCACAGTGGGAGTGAAGGCCAGACATATGAGACGCCTTATCTGTCTTGTTTCATTGTTGGCTTCCAATTCAAGACAAACATTGATCACTGTTTTGTCTTCTGCACAAAGCACAGACACAGAAAACGGCAGCTTGGCTCCACGAGCCCCTCAACTGTAATGTCTGTGCTTTATTTATTGTTATTGTTTGTGTGTGTGATGCCCTTGCCACAGGGTGGCAGCAAATGTCAAAGGACAACTTTGTGCAATTCCTTCTCTTCTTCCGCCTCCATCAGGCTTCTGAGGCAAGAGCCTTTACTGTCTGAGCCCCTGCATTTGTCTTTAAATTAAGTGACTTGCTCTTTAATGCAGAAAGAACTACTTTGAAGTTATGCTATCCAGAAAACCCAGATGAAAAGGCCAGACTTTTAGGAACAAATTCTCTAGTTCATTACCAGAAACCCAGATGAAGGCGAATGTCCTCATTCTTCACCGCACTCACTTAAACACAGAATAAGGGGAAACGTCCAAGCACATGGATGTAGCAGGCTTTTTCTTTTGGGTCACCAACCAGCAATCCTGACACAGAGACTTCTTATTAGTTGTGAATGCTCGGCCATAGGTTTTTCACTAACTCTTATAACTTAACCAGTTTCTCTTCATCTATGTTTTGCCTTAGGGCTTTTTACCTTCCTTTCCTTTCCTTCTGTGTATCTTACTTTCACTGCTTCTCATGTCTGTCTGTCTGTCTGGTGACTCTGGCTTCTGGCCCCAGGCCTGTCCCTCTCTTCCTCCCTCATTCTCTTCCTCCTCCTCTTTCTCCTCCTCCTCCACCTCCTCCTCCTCTTCCTCCTCCTCCTCCTCCTCCTCTTCTTCTTGCCTAGATTCCTCTTCCTATTTATTCTCTCTGTGCATCAGTCCTGCCTACCCCTCTCCTGCTCAGCTATTGGCCGTTCAGCTTTTTATTAGACCAATCAGGTGCGTTAGGCAGGCAAGGTGAAACATCTTTACACAATTAAACAAATGCAACACATCTTTGTCCAGTTAAAATAATATTCTGCAACATATGGGTGTGACTTTTTGGAATGATATATTATTGTGGCCATTAAAACGAGGTTTTCAAGCTAGGCATAGTGGTGTGCCCCTGTAATCCCAGCACTCAGGGGACAGAGGCAGGCAGATGACTGTAAATTCAAGTCCAACCTGTTCTATATAGGAAGCTCTAGTCCAATCAGGCTATACAGCGAGATTAAAAAAATCTAAATAAGTAAAACAAAATTACAAAAATTACCTTAGGATACAAAAGAGATCTAGCTTAAACACCTTAAACATTTGCAAACCTAATTTTTTACAATGATCATGTGGTACTTACCATGACCAGGATAAAACAAAACTGGACGATGCGGTCCATCATCAACTAGCTAACTGCCCGGCTCTTCATGAGGAGACACGTATGCTCTGGTTCCTAATCACTCTTCACTCTGACACACGTGGCAATGACTTCAAGTCGAGTTTCCTAAGGGTGGAGGAGTTGGACGCTCAAGGTCCTTTCCTACACTGGTTTCACACAGATTCCCTGGCCTGGAGATCTGTCTGTAGATCCCATTGCAGGTGTGGTATCTAGGGAAAGAACAAAGAGGGTTTCTCTAGTCCTCTTCTTGTACAAACAGGACTCAGGAGTGTTTACCTTGTCTGTGGATCCCTGTTGGAGTAAGTTCTTCTCTGATGTTCTCTTTGTTTTATTTAAGAACCGTGTGTATACGGGTGGAGGTGGCACACGCCTTCAATCCCAGCACTCAGGAGACAGAGGCAGGTGGATCTCTGTGTGTTTGAGACCAGCCTGGGCTGCAAGCGAGTACTAGGACAGGTTCCAAAGCTACACAGAAACCCTGTCTTGAAAAGAACTCTGCATAGCCCTTTACCGCAGCCCAGAGCCATGTGTGACTTGAGGACACCGTGGTGGCCTGCATTGGGCAGATCTTTCACACATGATCCCTTTCTTTTTAAGGCCTCAGAATGAACAAATAACCCTGGCGTTTTACACAAATCTTGCTGGCTACAGGGACTGTATGTTGGGAACTGATCAGGCATTGACCAGGAAAGAGAAGACACTATGGTCACATACACTGAGACTCTTTATAAGACCTGGTACACGTGCTCAGAGGCAAGGGGCAATCAATCATTTCCTAAGAGCTTGGTGGTGGGACTGGAGACTCAGCTCAGCAGTTAAGACTTTGTGCTCTCGCACAGGACACCCGTTCAGGTCTCAGAGCCCAGGTGGTGGTTAAATGCCTGTCGTGCCAGCTCTGGGCGTCTGACGTCCTCTGCTGGCGCCTGCACACTCACACGGACATATCCGCTCATAGGCACACTTGCGTACACAAGGCGGAGACTTTGTTGTTTCTGTTTTTTGAGATAGCGTTTCTCTGTGTATCCTT